TCAGCAGGCGTCCCGTTACGCCCCCAAATCAACCAATCTACCTCAGATCTCATGCCAAAGCTAAGGATGCACATCTGACAGCCTCGAAAACAACCTCTACTAGCAATGCAGCGCCTACCGCTTACTGCTAGCTGAGTTCTCTTCCTTTTCTTTTCTACTATGTTTGGGCACTAAGTTGCCGTTGACAAAAGGGCTTCCGCTGGTCCCCGTATAAAGACCAGGCGACAACAGTTGTTGGCGCGATGGGTCCCTGTTTTCAGCAGTGGATGCATCGCTGCAGCGGTGGATGCACGCGCCAACATCATCGTGATCCCGCTGACGGGTATCAATACCGACAGATATATGCCATTGGGCGCGAAACTGCTAACTAGGGGAGATTATTTTGGCGTGCAATCCCACGGAGTTTAAAGCATTGCACTAAGGGCTTCAGGGCTCTAGAGTTTGTTAGTTTCTTTTCCTAGCTTACAAGGGGGTTAGGCCAATGTATATTGATGAAGCTAGTTAGCACGTCCAAAAGCCTACACTAGGGCGCCAACGGACGTAATAGTCAAATCAAATCAAATCAAAATCAAATTACTCTACTTGACAACTCTCCCCTGTAAAAACCTTTGCACTTTTCCAGCTGTTAGCAGCTGTTAGTGGCGACGTTTTAACAGGCCCACTGACCCGCGGTTTTGATGGCTATGCGCTAGCAGAGTCTAGCAGCCACAAAAAGGAGAACTTTGGAGAGTTCATATTCCTCTTGAGCCGCTCGCCGTGACACATAAGCCCTTTAGGAGTCCTTGTATAAGGATGGGAAAGGCAATTCACGCCTCCTGTGCATTGTCTCTGGCTGTTGAGGGGTTTTCCGAGCTATTCTATAGCATAGGTTTTTTCCCCCTCTTCCTTTGAGAGAATTCTAGCTGGAGGGAGTCCAGGAAGCACAAGAAAGCTGCACCGCAGCACAAGTAGCTCTCCGCTGACGGAAGCTGCTCTTATGAACTTTTTGTTGATTTGAGCGGGACTGCCCGGGATGATCAACGCGCAGCTGCCACATCCATGAGACCAATTCTGGGGGAATCTGGGAAGGCGGTCACTGAATTGCAACGTGGTCAGACCCCCGTGCTTAACCCGGCATACTTTACCTTGCTAGACCAGAGTTGGTTGTAGACGGTTGATTGGCACGTCTAATGCCTACACTAGGGCCCGAATATAGACGTTAAAGAATACAATACAATACAATACAATAAGTCGTTGCGGCACTTATCGCCCTTACGAAAAACTCAACCGACTTCATCTTAACATTGAGTCTTTAACTTAGCAAACATACTGTCGATTGGGATAATTTGGGTTGGTTGATTAGCTCTGATTAATGGCAACGCTATCTTGTCGGGATGAAAAGGTGAGAATTTGACAAGGATATCGTAAGTTGTCAATGATATTTGTTAAATCCTCTCAGCCAATCAGAGGCATCCTAGGTCTGGATATCAAGATGGATATCCACCCAAGGGTCACAAACTTATATCGATATCGATACATCCCGATAGCAGAGTTGATATCGATGAATCGTGTCTAAATACGCAGTTCTGGCTGCCTAGAGCGAGCACGTCACATATCCGGCGCGGTTTCACATGGGTGTCGAAATCGGTATTTCGATCATCACTCCACGATCATATGGCACAGCCTGAACAGAACGAGACTTCTGATTTCTTATGTAATAGTAGAACGATACGAGGCTAAATACTTGCTGTCATAATCCTTCCTTTCCCGGCAGAACTGTAGCCCCGTTACCTTATTTGAATGAAAAATTCCCCTGCGTTCTTGATAATCGAGCGTCCAAACCT